TGGCCCCCTCCCCTGGTCACATTCCTGCTTAGAGGGGAAGTGAGGAGACAATTTGACACATCTGAGCTCCTAGCTAGTAACAAGTGAGCTCTCCTATGATCTGGTGGTGGGCTTAAGACTGGGTGGGGGAGGGGAAGAATATAGTAGAAGAAAACAGCATCCCCACCACGACATACACTCCAACTGATCTCCTCAAATCATAGAACCAAAGAATATTAGAGCTGGAAAGGACTGTAAGGATGAAATTGTCCAACCTTCTCATTTTACAGGAAAGGAAACTGAGGCCTAAAGTGATGAAATGATTTGTCCAAGGTCACGGCCAATTTGTGACTGAACCAAGACTAGAACCCACATCTCCTGGCTCCAGGTCCAGGTTCTTTCCACTCCATTCTGCATAGTTTTTTTTTTCAAGCTGTCTGGAGCAGCAGGGATTTGGGGGGATGGGGGAGCGGGAAAGGGACAGGAGACAGGCCTGGTTTCTATCAGCGCTGCCCAAGTGGGCCAGCACAGAGGGCGTGGGAAGTCAGAGACACTTACACATGTGCACTCACACATGTGTGCAAACACACAAGGGTACACACATGGGCAAAGACCAACAGTGGAGTAGCAAAGGGGCCCAGCCACACACCCCCTTCCACCCTGCCTCCTCCCCCTTCCCACGTCCCTGGAGGTGAGGGGGGTTGAAGGGGAAGGGGCTGTTGTGGAAGGAGCTGAGGGGGGAGAGGACTGAGAGGGAGGGGGGTGATAAATATTTCAGGGGCTTTTAGTTCTGAGAAGGGGCTGGCGGAGGTGGGGGGGAGTTAAGCCCTGCCTGATTAATGGGGTTAAGACGCTCCCATTTGCGGCTCCGATCAATCCTGCTCCCGCTCCCGCTGAAGGTTTAATGCTCTCTATCAGGAGACGCTTTTCTGACTTGGCAGCCACGACAGGCGTTTTAAATAGACCCATTTAGTGCAGGAGTTTGGGGGGGGATGACTAGGGGAGTACATAGGAAAAGGAAAGAGAAACAGAGACACAGGGAGAGCGACAAAGAGATGCAAGGAGACAGAGACAGAGGACAGAGAGACGCAGAAAGAGAAAGACACAAAGAGCAACAGAGACAGAGGCGCTGACAGTGAAAGGCGGGGTGGAGAATCAGGGAAAGGGAGGGACAGAAAGATTTAGGGAGAGACACAAAAGTAGAGACCAAAGGAAAGACAGAGAGAGGTTCAGCAAGAAAGCCAGAAGCAGAGACAAGAAATCTTTTATTTCCAAAAACAGTTTTTCATCCACTTTGTTAAATTAAAAAGATTAAAAAAAAAAAGCGGGGGAGGTAGTGGGCTGTAGCCAAGTCTCTT